TATTTTAGCTGTAGAATTAGCTTATAAAGGTTGTCTAGCGCTGTAGTTATTTATTGTCTTTTATAAGACTTTGCATATAGCTATAGCATATTTCTTTAAGAGTTTTATATCTTGTTTAAAAGCTTAGAGCGTAAGCTATATCTAATGTTCTTTTAGCGCGTCTAAGTAGTGTTGTGGGGAATGCATTAGTGTAGGAAGGGTAGTTTAGTGGGGTCTTAGCAAAAGTAAGCGACTCAGGTGTGTGAGCAACTCGCCCGTGAAGTACGTTATAGATAGGGACTATTAGCTTACGGAGGGGGGGGTAGTGTAATAATTCTTATAAATTATTGTATTTTAGGTTGCTTAGAACCTATCTAAAGAGTCTCTGTATTAGCCCTAACTATAACTTAACGCTGTCCCCTGCAGTTACCCCTATTTACCTAAGTATTTAGTTGCACCTTTTCTCTTAGCTAGCTTAGTAGTTTTCTGATATCCTTTGTACAAGGCCTATAGGTGTTAATGGAAATTCCCAGGTTCTAAGTCCCCACGCACTCCCATATGCCTCTGAGTGGATTCCCACCGCATTCGGTCCATTGTCTTGCCTGTGCTGTTACATTAGACAACTGTGCACTAATACTACATGTTGCTCTAGTTTATACATTAATCCTTTAGCAGTAATTGTGACGGTGCTGCTTGTCAAGCTCCGCTTCTAGTCACATGATCTCGCTAAGGGCCAAGCGAGCGCGCTAGCGCCTTGGCGCCGCGCAAGCTTTTCTCTCGCAAAAACCCTTCGCCTCCTTCACTCCCCACACTAGTTTAGCTGAAATAGAGCCGACCTACTCTACCTCGCTTCCCCAGCTCCATACGGTAGTAGAGACAGTGCTTGTCATCACATTAAACCAGGACCAATCCCATTTCGGCCGGAGGACGGCGACATAATATCAGTGTCCTACCGAGCGATCAGCCTGGGCGCTTGATTCGCCGACGACCACCTACCGAGCAACGATCGTACGACCAAGCAGAGCCTTTGGTTCGTCAACACGCTCCGCAAAATCCTGGTTAGGCCAGGTACCCCGACACCTCTGGAAGAGCCCTGTGCTGAGCAAGAAGCTGCAGCCAAATCAACTGTAGGGAGGGGCCTACATTACCCGTACAACAGAAGAGAGCTTGGAGCTCTATCGTACTGATCACTCTAGGAGAGATCACCCCCCTGATCCTCTGCTACACGATCAGAAGCCCTGAAGCAGCAGGCAATACAGGTCTAGAGACAGTAGGCCTACCGACCAATCAGCTGCACCGCCGGCAGCACCACCGACCAATCTACTTCACCCTCTCGGGACCTAAAGCAGCATCACCGACCAATCGGCTGCACTGCCAGCAGCATCATCGATCAATCGGGGAGGCATAGGAACAGGTAGCTAAATCCTAGGAGCTGCTAAACAAGGCCTTAGCAAAGCTAGCCAACCAGGGCAAAGAAATCACCGCCTTGAAAGACCCGCCTAAGCCGGCATCTGCAGACAATCCTCGCCCATACCTGTCAAGACGAACTGGTAGCGCACTCGCGGCGACACTAATCGTGAGCACCCCAGGGAAGCAGCTGCGCTTTGAACCTGTGACTACAGCCACGCCAAACACCACACAGTTCACCTCGCAGAGCCAGGGAGGAGGCTCACGATACTCTGCCAAAGTAGCAGACCCGCCCATATTCACAGGCGACGATGACCATGACATCGAGCACTGGAAGGACCTGCTAGCAGGCAAGCTGCTGCACAACGCTGATCACTTTGTCCCCCCAGATGGCAATCTAGGGAACCATGAGGATGCGCGAGCGCACTACACTAAATCAAGGATAAGCGGGAGAGCCCTGAGCTACCTACGACCGCACCTCAAGGGGATAGAGAAACACGACAAGCCGGCGACGGCTGCCAACATCGTTGAATTCCTAGAGAAAGCCTTTGTTGACACCCACCAGCGCTCTAAAGCTAGGGCTGAGCTCCGCCAGCTTAAGATGAAGTTATCCCAGGACTTCAGGGACTTTCAAGCCCAGTTCACCTAACTAGCCAACCAAGCAGAGCTGCCGCTAGACCAATGGAAGGACGAAATCCACGATGCCCTCTCAGGCCCGCTGCCCGTACACATGGAAATCTACTGCCACGACCCTGCAATAAGCTTCTTCGACTACTGCCACCGGGCCCGACAGATCGCGTTCTCTCTACAGAAGGTAGCCGCACAGACTAGTGCTCGGCGCGCTCAGAGGGGTCTAGAGAAGCCCACCCGCAAGAACATTCTGCAACCACGGGTCGCTGCTCCACCAACGCGAGCTGCAACTTCACCGTCGCCGCCGACAACTAAGGACGATGTCATGTGCTATCGCTGTCACAAGCCAGGACATCTTAGCCGCGACTGCCCGCGTGTTTGTACAGAGAACAAGCTAATGGAAGCTGTAAGCTTAGATACAGAGTCAAGCGATAAGGAAGCACTGTTGTTGGGGGAAGCCTCACTCTAGGGGAAGTCTCCTCCCTAGAGACGCACGACGGAGCCCCTAGTCCCGACCCGCGGCGGCTGCTCTTTAGCGGAAAGCCATTCACATTGCCCTGCCGCATCTCTACTAACGGGACAACCATCAAGCTCAATGGCCTCATCGACACTGGTGCAAGCAGTTACAACCTACTTAATCCTATGCACCTGCGTACAGTGAAGAAAGGTCTTAAGGCAAAGCTCTCCAAGATGGCGCCCGTCCCTCTGGCAGGATACAATAATAGACCGAACGGACAGGTAATGAGTACTTCAAGGCCGATCTAGTTCTAGACGGCCACCGGATACCATCGTACTTCATACCCTGCAACACTGGTCGTCACGACCTCATCATTGGTCGCAAGCTGCTGGAGGAAGCAGGCGTATGGATCAGCTGCAAGAACCGTGCACTGAGATGGCCAGAGGACGACAGGTTGATTGATTGTAAACGCGACATCATCATCCCTGTGCGCAGCTAGTCTCCAGAGATGAACCTAAGTCACTAAGAAGACGCTGAGCGACGCGACAAACTTATGAGTGTTGCAGCGCTCCAACCAGCAGGTAAACGAAGGGCGACTAAGCATCTTGTGTACAAGGAGAACCTTAGGAAGATGCGTGACCAGCTCAGCACTCCAAAGCCAAGCTCACGACCCCATCGCAGGAATCGCCGCAACTCAACCATGTCACGCGATACACTCATCAATGCTGGTCTAGACATCAACGTAATAAGTCCTGCCGCCTTTATGTTGCATGCTTGACAAAAGGAAGTCGTCATTAGTCACATAAGCGTGTACAAAGTGGAGAAGCTTATCCAGGATCGTCAAGAAGAGACAAACCAGCTCGACCCAGAGGAGGAGCTCCGCCAGTTGATTCAACAAAAGCTCCCAGCACTGTTGTATGCAGGAGCTACGCTGGCTCACTTCTCCAAAAAGGACTCCAACAAGCTCCCACCTCACTGTGAGGGAGTTAACCACGACATCTAGCTTAAAGCAGAGAACACACTGTCAAGCAGCCCGCTGTACAGCATGTTGCTGGAGCAACTTAAGCTAGTCAAGACCGACCTTGAGGATCACCTGCAACGTGGTTTCATCACACACAGCAGCGCCAGCTATGCGTCTCCAGTGCTGTTTGCTAAGAAGCCAGGAGGGGGGTGGCGGTTCTGCGTTGACTACCGGAAGCTCAATGCAATCACCAAAAAGGACGCATACCCAATTCCCCTAATCCAGGAGACTTTCACCCGCCTAGCGCGTGCCAGGGTGTTCACTAAGCTAGACGTACGACAAGCCTTTTACCGCATCCGTCTAAACAAGGAGGTAGAGGACCTTACTACCTTTCGAACGCGATATGGCAACTACACATACCGCGTACTACTGTTTGGCTTATGCAACGGACCAGCCACGTTCCAGCGCTACATCAACAAGGTGCTCCACGGTCTGCTAGACGACACCTGCACAGCATACCTCGACGACATTCTTATCTACTCAGAAGACCCGTTTCAACATGAGGAACATGCTGCACAGGTGCTCCGTCAATTACTAGACGCCGGTCTCCAAGTAGACATTAAGAAGAGCGAGTTTGCTGTCACAGAGACAAAGTTCCTAGGTCTAATCATCAGCACCAACGGCATGCGAAAGGACCCAGAGAAGGTAGCAGCTGTACGCGAATGGCCTGTACCGACATCAATCAAGAGCCTGTAATCCTTCCTAGGGTTCTGCAACTTCTACTGAGCATTCCTGAAGGACTACGGACGTATTGTATGACTGCTCACAAAGCTGCTCAAGCGCGGTGCCTGGCATCACTTTGGAGAACGCCAGTTGGCAGCTTTCAATCAAGCTAAGGACCTAATGCTATCAGACGCTGTCCTCGCGCACTACTCGTCCCACCGCCAGACATGCATGGAGACAGACACCAGCGTCGGAGTCGTAGCAGGCGTGCTTTCCCAGCTGCAGGACGACGGACTCTGGCGACCAGTGGCCTTTTATCGTACCCTGCCAGAGGGACGGGCGCCATCTTGGAAAGCTTTGCCTTAAGACCTTTCTTCACCGTACGTAGGTGCTTAGGATGGAGTAGATTGTAACTGCTTGCACCAGTGTCGATGAGGCCATTGAGCTTGATGGCTGTCCCGTTGGTAGAGATGCGGCAGGGCAATGTGAATGGCTTTCCGCTAAAGAGCAGCCGCCGCGGGTCGGGACTAGGGGCTCCGTCGTGCGTCTCTAGGGGGGAGACTTCCCCTAGAGTGAGGCTTCCCCCAACAACAGTGCTTCCTCATCGCTTGACTCTGTATCTAAGCTTACGGCTTCCATCAGCTTGTTCTCTGTACAAACACGCGGGCAGTCGCGGCTAAGGTGTCCTGGCTTGTGACAGCAATAGCACATGACATCGTCCTTAGTTGTCGGCGGCGGCGGTGAAGTTGCAGCTCGCACTGGTGGAGCAGCGACCCGTGGTTGCAGAATGTTCTTGCGGGTGGGGTTCTCTAGACCCCTCTGAGCGCGCCGAGCACTAGTCTCTGCGGCTACCTTCTGTAGAGAGAACGCGATCTGTCGGGCCCGGTGGCAGTAGTCGAAGAAGCTTATTGCAGGGTCGTGGCAGTAGATTTCCATGTGTACGGGCAGCGGGCCTGAGAGGGCATCGTGGATCTCGTCCTTCCATTGGTCTAGCGGCAGCTCTGCTTCGTTGGCTGGTTGGGTGAACTGGGCTTCAAAGTCCCTGAAGTCCTGGGATAACTTCATCTTAAGCTGGCTGAGCTCAGCCCTAGCTTTAGAGCGCTGGTGGGTGTCAACAAAGGCTTTCTCTAGGAATTCAACGATGTTGGCAGCCGTCGGCTGCTGGTCGTGTTTCTCCATCGCCTTGAGGTGCGGTCGTAGGTAGCTCAGGGCTCTCCCGCTTATCCTTGATTTAGTGTAGTGCGCTCCCGCATCCTCATGGTTCCCTGGATCGACAAAGTGATCAGCGTTGTGCAGCAGCTTGCCTGCTAGCAGGTCCTTCCAGTGCTCGATGTCATGGTCATCGTCGCCTGTGAAGATGGGCGGGTCTGCTACTTTGGCAGAGTATCGTGAGCCTCCTCCCTGACTCTGCGAGGTGAACTGCATGGTGTTTGGCGTGGCTGGGGTCACAGGTTCAGGCGTGTGCTCTTCGCTAGTTGGTAGGGCGGTGGGGTCCACCCGCATCTCGAGCTTTGAGAGTTTCCCCATGCTAGTATTGGTTTGATTTGATGCCGCTGGCAGTGCAGCCGATTGATTTGTGGTGCTGTACGGCGAACTGTTAGCTGGTGAAGGGAAAAAACTAATCGCCAATCGCTTAGGAGCATTTTAGGTAGGAAACACTATAGTATTTTGCTAGGCAAAAAATACTAACGTACTTCATGGGCGAGTTGCTCACACACCTGAGTCGCTTACTTTTGCCAAGACCCCACCACACCACCCTTCCTACACTAATGCATTCCTAATAACACTACTTAAACGCGTTAAAGGAACGTTAGATGCAGCTTACGCTCTAGGCTCTTAAACAAAACGCAATACTCTCTAAGCAACGCGCTGCAGCTATCTACAGGGTCTCTTAAAAGATAATAAGTAACTAACGCGCTAGACAACCTTTTTAAGCTAATTATACAGCTAACTTACAGAAGCTAGATAATAATAAAGAGCAGGTAATTATTTAGCACATACTTAAGCTAGATGCGTAAGGATTTCCCCTCTAGCTAGTAGCTGTAGCTAATATAGCTAATTCTTTACACGCTAAGTATAATATAGGCTATATTAGCATAAACTAGCTTAATATGTTTATTAAGTGTTACTTAGAGCTTAAAGTAAAGTTTAAGTGCAAGTATAACTATAAAAGAGCTTTTTATAAGAATCTTATAGTAATTTAAGGCTAGTTTAACCTTATAAAGAATATTAAAGCTAAGTATAGCATCTAGAATAATAACATATATAACTTTAATAAGATAAGGTTTATAATAGGCTAGATATCTACTAGAGCAGTTATTACAGGTTTAGAGAGATAAGAACAGCTAAAAGTAGTTTAGCTAGGTAACTAGGAGTAGACAACAGCTATCTAGGGCATTAATGCTAAAGAGTAGGCTATTCTGCCTTTTATTATTTTCTAGAGTAGTAACTACTTTTTAAACTAGTATAAAAAGAAAAATCTACTCTAGAATTAAGTTATTACAATCTCTAAGCGCAGCTAGACTACTAATTAGCTTAGTCTAGACTAGTTAAAGCACTTTAATGTGCATATAAAGAAGTGTACTATTAGCAGCTACTATCTACTAGTTATTAACAGCTATAAAAGCTATAACTTACTTTATTTTTAGTAATACTATAAAAATAATAAGATTATTACTATTTATATACTTTTTTACTTATTACACTTTTTATAGCTACTTAATGTAGGTTATTTTACTCCTTTAAAAAAAGTGTATAGGCGCTAAGCTAAAAACCTTATATATAACTAGATTACTTATATTATAAAAATAAAGTTCCTACTATGCTTTAAAGCAGCTTATAATGCTATAATTACTTTTAGTAATATTTAAAAAGAGTTCTAAAGCGCTAGATTAGTTCCTTTTAACTTATAATAAGTTATAATAGGCCTTAATATAAAGTTGCGCACTTTATTACTACTACTACCTATATATAACAAGCCCTAGTAGTTATAAACCCTAAGTAATACTCTAAAACTTAAGTTATAATTAATGCTTATAAAGATAAAAATTTAGAAGTATATAAATAGTTTACTAACTTCTATAGTTAAGGTGTTTAAGAAGGTTTTAAAGAGAGTAGCAATAATTACACATAAGTTAGTGTTAGTGTAATAGAAAATTACTAAGCTTTAAGCAGCTAATAAAGCTGCTATGTAATGTAAATTATATAAAAAAAAGTAAATTAAAGTAAAAAAGACTTTAATAATTTAAAAAAGCTTACACTTAATAGCTTTAAAAGAGTTTAAAGCGCGTAGTAACAGAAAGAAGGTAAAAAAGCAGGTGTAAGCTAAAGTAAGTAAGCTATTCTAAAGGCGCTGCAGACAGTGTAATTAGACTAGGCATAACACGTAAATGTGTAAGTAAGAAGTAAAAGTAGTATCTAAATAATATTCTAGGCTGTACTGTACTATATAGTGCTAGAGCGGGTTGTTATAGGCTATAATAGAGTTTGTTAGGGTAGAGTCTTAGCAAAAGTAAGCAACTTAGGTGTGTAAGCAACTCGCCTATGAAGTACGTTATAACGTATTTATATAATGTTTTTTAGAGATCTAAGGAGTGAAGGGTTGTTTCACGTGACTGTATCGCGACTGCCCTCTATAGCAATTGCCTTCACTGCAGCGTTGTACAATAATTGTAGATACTCGCCGCCACCAACACTCTTTCACATCTACCACTACTACAGCAGTAGCAGCAACAACAACAGCAACAACAGCAACAACAGCAACAACAGCAACAACAGCAACAACAGCAACAACAGCAACAACAGCAACAACAGCAACAACAGCAACA